CGAGGAGCCAGGAAAGGAATATTAACGAAGCACTCAGCGCGGGCAGCCTGGGCCACAGGCCGCCCTCCCACGAGGGACGCTGGTCGGGGTGGGCCCAGGGGCTGAGGCCGCAAGGCAAGGGACCGGGTCTCCCTGAGCTTCCTGCCAGCATCTAAGGCCAAGATGCTGCGGGGCTTCCCGTTCTCGCCCTAACTGGGGGAATCAAATTCTAAGATTCCTGAGGCTTCTAATTCCTGATGACTGGGAGTCCACGCAACCCCCACGCTCCGCTCTCCTTGCTGGCTGGAGCCCGTGAGGCTCACCTAGACACAGGCAGAAGCCACTCCTCAGCCTCCCTGCCGGCCCCTTTCCAGCCACGTACAGCCAGACGGGTCCCAGGAAACCTGAGCTGGATCGCGTCCCCCGTGCTCTGAGCTGGCCCGCAACTGTCCTGTGCGTAACAGGAAGCCAGACCCCTGGGTCCCCTCAGTCCTCCCTGTGCCCCCTCCCACCTCTCTCTCTCCCTCTCACTGGCTTCCTTGTTTCCGTCCCCACCTCAGGACCTTTGTACTTGCTGTTGCCGCTGCCTGTAGCACTCTCCCCCTAGCTCTCCACTCACCAGGCTCCGCACCACCCCGGCCTCAGCTCCAAGGTGTCCTCCTCAAGAGCCTCCCCGCAAGTCCTCAGACCACAGAAGCCACCCGCCTTTGTGTCACGTGAAACCTGTCCCATTTGTTCCTTCACATGTTCATTTTTCATCCCCCGGGCCCAGAGTATTGGTCTCTTTCACCGCTGTGCTCAGGGCCTGGCATACAGTGGGTGCTCAATAAATACGTGTTGGTGAATGAATGAATTCTGTAATTAGGGGAGCCTAAGTCTCGCCCTCGCACGCAGGGCGTGATAGAACTTTGTTGGTTGTTAGCTCAGTGGGCGTTTGTTGACTGACTGCCTGACCTGGCACAGCTGCTCCTGGATAAAAGGCACTTCACATATACTGGGGGGGAGAAAGCAGAGGACAGCGCACAACTCCTACTTGGCAAAGGGACAGAGGGGACTGTGCTGAGTGGCTGGCCCCACGACCCACACCTCTCCACCTGCCATCACCACCTGCTCTGTGGGTCCAGCCACCAGCTCACGGCTGCCAGGCTCTCCCTTGCCTTTGCTCTCCACAGCCCTGTACAGGCCGACTGGTCCTTGACCAGAGGTGGGGGCCTCTGAGGCCTGCAGGGGTTGGTGTGAGGAGCCAGGAGCTCTGCCAGGAAGTGCAGGCCCTAAGGCTGGAGTGAGGGTTGGGATGGGGCTAATGGCCAAGCAACTGCGACCCTGGTGGCCGCTGCTTCTGCAGGGGCTGTTAACAGTGTTAATGGGGCTGAGATGCCCCCTCCAGAAGCAGGCCTTCTCCTCCCGCGCTGTTAAGTGGATAAGTGGCAGGGAGGGAAGGAAAGAGCAAGCCCCCCCGCTCCACTACCCTGGTACTCAGGCAGCCTAGGGAGTCTAGAAACCAGCTTAAAATGTGGGGAGATGACACCGCGCTCTTCCCCCTCATTTCAAGTGAGAAAACCGAGGCCCGGCGCACCAACCTGTTTCCATTCGTCCCCTCCCCTCCAGCCCCTGTGATCATGGCTCACCCCTCCTCTCTGGGCTGCAGGAGCCCAGCCACAGACCCTCAGGAACAGCGTCCAACCCAGGCCAGGGGGGACATCTGAGGACAACCTACCCGTTGGGCACAGTAGCTGCAGTGCCCCGGGCCCACAGCTTCTAGGATGAACGGTGCGAGCAGTGAGAGAGGAGAAGAGGCAACTTGGCAGGGCCTTGAAGCCCAGCGAAGCTTGAAGGGTGGCTTGGATCTGTCGGCAGTAGGAGGTGAAGAGAGGGGTTTGTGCTGGGAAGGTTGGGGTCGGATGCTGGAAAAATCTCTAGAGACAAGAGAGGAATGTAGAGACTGACACAGTAAATGATGGAGAGATAAAACAGATGGACATGTGAACAGACGGATGAGCGAACAGATAGGTGAGGGTATGTAAGGGAAGGATGGACAACTGGATGGGGTGAGCAGGTGGGTCAAGAGGGAGGCACGGATGAACAGGTGAGTAGACAATGAACAGATTAAAATTCATCTTTCTACCAATTCAGTCATAGAAGCTAATTTTCATTGTTTTTCACGGAGGACGCGGGGCTCACGAAGGCAAAAGTGCCCAGGGTGCTTAAAAGTCATAATGGGGCCCCAGAGGAAGGCCTGATGACTCACTGGGGGCCCTGTTTTCTTCCCCACCTCCCTCCAGCCTGGCTCAGCCTTCAGGTCTCCATTTCCCCACCTCCAGGGCCATGTTCAGGTGGTTTCTTCTGCAGGGGACACCCTTTCCGGAACCTGCACCACTCACCCTCTCCTCCTCCAGGAAGTCCTTCAGGGCTGGCTCAGCACCTCATCTGGGCTCCCACAAGACCCTTGGTCTTGTGTTTGAAACAGTCTCCACCCAGACGTGAGCCCTGGGCGCCGGGATCTCTCCTCAGGGACGGAGGCCTAAGGACAGGAAATAGCCCCTGTTACCCCAGCATTTCCCAGACACGGGTCACGTGCCCAGCTGCCATGCAAAGAGGAGGTTAGCGGACAAGTGTGGCCCAGGGAGGCCACGAGGCAGCCACTGGCCACATCCAGTGAAGCGATGGTGGCAGGAGGAGCTTTAGAACTTAGCAGGTGGAACGGCAGGGTTTACTGAGGGGCGGGGTACGGGGCGAGGGGAAGCAAGCCGGTGAAATCCCACCTCAGGGCTTTTGCACCTGCTGTTCCCACTGCCAGGAATGCTCTTCGCCAAACGGGTTCTCCTTCAGTCATTCACCTGTTAGTCTTTGCTCGGCTGTGACCTGCTCAGGGAGGCCTTCCCAGACTCCGCCCCAGCAGTACGGGCCCCTCTCTCCTGCCGTTTTCTTCTCAAGGCACTGTCTCCCCCTGGTATTTATTAATCCCCAGCTTGAATGTCAACTCCACGAAGGTGGGGCTGTTGTTCTGTCACCACTTGGTCCCTAGCCCCTTGCACAGGGACTGGCACACCATAGGGGCCCAGCAAGTGTCACAGACAGGGAAGACTGACGGGGAATGGGCTTGGCGGGCACAAGTCAGTGAGCACAGAACTGACAGTCATTCATTCATCCAATTCCTTCATTCGACAGCATTTATCCAGCGCCCACCATGTGTCAGGCACTGCTCTGGGCACGGAGGGCTGAGCACATCAGACAACGTCCCTGGCGTCCTGGAAGCAACACTCCCCAGGGAAGCAAGACATAAACATGCCAGTGTGGCCATGAAAAACAGGACGGCTCAGGCGTGCTCAGGGCCGGGAAGGAGAGAAGCGGAACACGGGGTGCTGCTGGCTGACGCCCCAGGCCTGGCACACCGGGGTTGGTGCACAGGGGACCCCGCCTGTCCTCTGCCTGGACCTCACTGGGGGAGCGTTCCCGACGTTCCCTCAGACATGTGGGAATGTGGTGCGCCCACGGCTGGTGTGCAGTAACTGCTCCGGCCGCCCTGGGAGCCTGGGGGACCCCGCTGGGAGAAGCCCGTGGGCCCCAGCAATGCAGACAGCTCCGTGGCTCCTGCCCGCTCACGGCGTCTCCAAGTGGCAGGCGGGAAGCTGGGCAGCAGGGGCACTCACATTTGTCTCTTTGCTCCTTCCGGCCCCTCAACCCCAGGCTGGGAGGGCCGGGTGCCCTGCTCTGGCGGTGGCTCAGGCGCATCCCCGAGATCTCCGGGGCTGTTGTGAGGACCGACCAAGGTTCAGGCAGCCATGTGGCCTCGACACCATGGGCACAGAGTAAGAACAGATTATATGTGCTCTCTCCCCTCCCTGCCAGTGCCATGCTGTGTGACCTTGGGTGGATTTCCTCCCTCTCTGAGCCTGGAGCTAGTTGGTCCTTAGAGGGAGCTCAGCCAGGATCCCTGAGGTTCTGGGATTTCACCAGTTGTGGTGAGCAGATGGGGGGGGACGTTCTGCGGCCCCCAGCAGTGCCCCAGATCTGTCCCTCTCCACGGCCTCAGTGGCCAGCCGGCACAGGGCTGGCACAGAGGAGAACTTCGGGGGCGTTTATGGAACGAATGAGGGAGCCGGCACTGGAGCTGGGCCCTCCCAGAGGGAGCTTGCTGGGCACAGAGCTGGGAAAAGCGGTGACGGCTGGGGCCAGCACCAGCTTCGTCTCTCGCTCCTGACGGCCTGTGTGATCTGCAGCTGTGTACAGCACCTGAGGGCCTCCAGTTCCCCCGCCGCATGGGAGGAGCAAGTCCCATCTGCCTCGGGGGCTGCGCGGGGGATACGAGGGCCCTGGTCCTTGGCTGCACTAGTGGTGGCCTCACGCCTCTCTGAGCCTCAGTTTACCCAGGTGCTAGGCGGGAGTGGACCCACACTTCTGGCCTGTCACCTCGAGCCAGGATGAGTGCCCCCACCCCAGGCAGGGAGAGGGGCCGGGATGACGGGGGAGGCGAGGCCGAACCCAAGCCCAAAATAGCCTGAGGTGGCAGGATGATGGAGGTGGCGGGGCTGGGCGGCTTGGCGGTGACGGATGGCTCTGCATCGGCGTGAATAAAACATCTGCCTTCCACCGCCCTGGGCCCAGTGTCCGGGCCTCGTAGGCTAGGCGCGCCCCGCCCGCTCTTCCTGGGTCCTCCCTTCTCCCTCTCCTGCTTGACTCGCCAGTGCCCAGAGGACACGCGGACACGCCGAGGCTCTCACAGGCCTGTCCTTGTCCCCTGCTGCCCAGCTGACAGCCTCACTGCCCCCTAAACCCACCCTCCCATTCACACCTCCCTGCCTTGCCCGCAGTGATTCACCTGTCGGGAGGCCCGGCCTCGTCCTCACCTGGGGCAATAACCCCCCATCTCAAGGGCCCATGAAGTGAGTCTTTCAGGAAGATCTGCCCACCCCTGACACGGAGGGCCACCCCGTGTGATGGCTAGCTGCCTGCTCGCCCAGGGGTCCCTCCCTCCAGCCCCTTCCACTCTGCCAGCTCTAAGAGGTGCAAGTCAAGTGCAGGCTAGTCGGAGGTGCACTTTCACCGGCGGATTTCCAAAGACCTCAGCAGGGCACAGAGAAGTGGGCAGCACACTCCTCGCTGGCCTAACAGCCACCGCTCCCAGAGGGCCATTCAGGCAAGCTCACCAGAAACCACCGACCCACTGAAGACTTTAGCTCATGAACTTCCTTGCCCATGTGTGAAACACCTGAGCAAAGATGCTTCCCGCAGCCTGTTTGCAAGAACAAAACGTTGCACAGCCAGGATGCCCAGTGCAGGGCACTGATGGGACACACACTGGTGCCCTCGGACACAGAAGGTTACAGAGCCGATCGCTCAGGACAAGAGACACTTCCAAAGGTAACAAGTGAAAAAACTGTAAGGTGTTGAACAGCGTTCACACATGCTGTTTTTCTGTTCAAAATAAGAACCACAAAAAAGATTTTGTATCAGTGCTGTGTGCGTATGGGAGCCTCCGGAAGTACACACAAGAAACCCAGTGGTTGCCTCTAGAAGGGAGAAGTGCGGGGCTGGAGGAGGCATCCACGCTGCTCCCTCAGACTCCGTCCCCATGTGTCCGTTACAAACTCAATGTAAAAACTGAGTAAACGGAAACCTGCTGACCCACTGACACAGGGATTTTACAACGGTGCACAAACCCTCTAGAAATAATTAAGACACGAAGTTGTAACCTCAGGGTTTGTTTTAATGGCTAAGAGGTGGAAAGGGCCCGACGTCCGGCAGCAGGGGACAGTGTCTGGCATGTGTGCGGCAGGGCTGTGGCAGCCTTGACCACCATCCACACAGGACCCAACGGCGTAAACGGCGCCCCGCACAGCCGGTAAGCGGGAAGGCAGACTGCAGGTATCACAGAAGGAGAGTAAGATGTGCTCAGGTGCAGAGAGAAGTGTCTGGAGGGCAAGCTTAGCCCTGGGCCCGCATCGTTGGTATCTTCTTGTTTTCTCTGTGTCTTTGAGAATGTGTACGGCTGGTGGGGGTAAAAGGACCTCCCCCGGCGAGTGGCGTGGACGCATATACACGCCCAAATGTAAAACAGAGAGCTGGTGGGAAGCAGCCGCACAGCGCAGGGAGCGCGGCTCGGGGGTCTGTGACCACCTAGAGGGGTGGGGTAGGGACGGTGGGAGGGAGGCGCAGGAGGGCGGGGATATGAGGATGTATGCATACGCAGAGCTGATTCCCTTTGTTATACAGTGGAAACTAACAGAACAAGTAAAGCAATTATACTCCAATAAAGACGTTTCAAAAAAAGGCCCTACCCCAGGCTCACTGCCCCCCAGGCTGAGCCGGGCCCCCACGGCACCCCCGAGCTTACCCTAGCACAGCCTGGGCTTCGTGGGCAGGGGGCATCAAACAGCATTGCATGCTGTGCTGTGCGTGACCCCACAGACAGGTCCCTCCTGCGGGCTCCTCCAGGACAAGGCCACACCTGACCGTCACTGTCCCTACCACGGGGCTGGGCACGAGGGAAGCACCCAGCTCGGGCCCCACTACTGGCCCACCCTGCAGGCTGCCGTCCCTGAAGCCGGCCGCTCCACTCACATGAGCGGCCTCCACTCTGGGCTCAGAGACAGGCCCCCCCGCTGTCCCCACACAACCAAATCGGCCTCACAGAAACACACTCCCACCGCTCCTCCCAGTCTCACAACCACACGGAGAAATTGGTGGGGGGACAGACGGGGGCTGCGAGGAGCTTTGAAAGGCTAGTCACCCACCCACGCCACACTGCACCCCTCCTTCCACAGACGGGGTCCTGCCGGCGCCCTCTGAGGACCCGGTCCCGCAGAGGTGGCGGACTCACAGCCTCTGGGGTCCCACCTGCCAGGTGACCCCAAGCAGAATGGGCACGTTCAATTTGAGTGCTTGGGACCCACTTGGCCCCCGAGTTCCGAGCTTCTGGGGAAAGAGGAGGAGAGGAAAGGAGTGAGAGGCTGGGAGGGGCTGGAGGCAGAGCACAGCAAGGGCAGGTGCTGTGTGACCCCAGGCAAGTGGCTCAGCCTCTCTGGGCAGCCTTGTCAGAGTGTGTAACAGGACCCTATGAGCTCAGGGGCCAGGCCCTTCAAGGTTCCTGGAGCTGCTGGGGTGAGAAGTTCCTGCCAGTGAGGGCTGGCCTCAGCTACAAGCCCTGGGACGCAGAGTTGAGGCCACAGAACAGACCCTCGGAGCCCCACACACCTGGCCCTAAAAATGGGCGGGGCTCAGGGAGTAAGTTAGGCCTGAGGGCTGCGAGTCTCCGAGTCCGTCAGGAGTGCAGAGGGGTCCCGGGTCCAGGGCCCACAGCCCCGCACGCCTGCTTCCGAGAGGGCAGGAGAACGAGGTCGAGGCAGGGTTGCTGGCTGGGCCAGTCTTCTTGCCCAGAGACTGGAGGGCCGGGGTCTCCCTCGCAGCCGCCCGAGCTGCTGTGCGGGCAGCGCCCAGCCCTGGACACTGGACCTCAGGGGGTGTCTGCTGCGGCTGCAGGCTGTACCCTGCACGCATGAGGCGCCACTGAGGGGCCTCCGG